CCTTGAAGGTTTTGATCACACAGCTGAATCCTCTTTTCTGCCATCTTGATTTTTTTTTTTTTTTACTCCCTTTCCCCCTGTGGACAGCCTTGCAGTTAGTTTCAGACCTAAAAAAGGAACAAAATATGTGTTTTAGTCTTTAAAAAAGTTCTTGCAGCTGTCAGATTTCTGATCTGGTGGACCAAAGCTTACTTCTTGCTCTGTATGGGAGAAATGTGGCCCCTAGCCACGACAGCCCGAGGTAAGGCAGAGCAGCAAGTGGCATCACCCTCCCTTCCTCCCAAATCAAAATCCCAAATTGGTATTCAAGACCAGCCAAAATTTTTTGACACATGAGGCTGAAAATCTCAGAAGCACCTCTTCCTGGCCCTGGCAATAAAAATAGAATGAGAAATGAGATAGCAATGAATAAAAGTGAGTGAATGAATGAAAGAAAATGAATAATACATGAAATATCTAGCAATTAATGCTCTTTTATGGCATTCATTTTTGCTACCTAAGGAGCTGCTTCGCTCAGCCTAACAACGTGGCACAAGTAACTAAGCAAGTATACTATAAACTCTTAACTGTGCAATCTTCATTCTGCTTAATCGCTTTGCTAATTATTATACTCACCAGCCCCAATTAGAACCTGCTTAGATGATTGGCTGAAGAATGTGGTAGTTGTAATCCAGCACAACAACTGACTTAACATACCTAACCCTTGTCCAATACTCGAGTTTAGTACTGCATATTGCATAATCTAATAGCTAACGCTTGCAAACTCCAGCTGGATTTTGAAGAATAACCATTACATTAATATGACTCTAGTCCTTGCACGTTTCTGGAATATCAGCCTTTCTTTTATTGCGCTTCCCACTCTGCAATAAAACCTTGTGTGGATGATTTAAAAAATGATGAATATTGTTGAGGCAAAATACACATTCCTTTGCATTGTTTGGTGACAGATTTTCTCCTTTTGTGCCACCAGAGACACCCTGAAAAGAAAAAACAGCAGCAGTGACTGTACCAGTCCCACCACAAATAGTCCTGGTTCAAAAAGAGATGCACATTTCTGTGCTGTGTGTAGCGATTATGCGTCTGGCTATCACTATGGTGTTTGGTCATGTGAAGGCTGTAAAGCATTCTTCAAAAGAAGCATCCAAGGTAGGGAAAACAGGACATCCTGGAGAGACCAATTCATCTGAATGCAATGATTCTTGTTAGAACATAAAGCCAAATTGCATAGCGCAACCAGGGTTGTCTGCTCCACCAGTGGCTTAGAGAGGGAGAATACACAAGCTGATACTCTCTACCACCAGCCAAGCAAGCAAACAACTAAAATATTATATCATCTGCATGCTTATAATAGGGGTTTTAGAAGAGTTTTAGTAAATATGCATGATACATTGAATTATCATGGATAATTACTAATAGTTTAGCATTAATTATTAATCATTGTATTTCTTCTTGTTATTAGTAACATTTCATAAGATTTCTGTTTTTTCATCACTGAAATATCTTCACTTCTTCACTTTTCATTGTCCCAACATTCACTGAGTTGGTGGAATTATGGAAGGACATTTTTATATTGGAAAATTGAACTGCTATCGCTTTGGGGCAGTGCCCCATGGTCCCCCTCAAATGTTCTGTTTATAGACTTGTCGTAAATTGTGGCTGGGAATTGATAATTTGTGCTCAAGAAGGTTTGCAAAAAGGATTACATTTAACCTTACCCCTATGGATCCTAAGTAGACGCATACAGCATTTTCTTGCATATTCTGTTTAAGATTTCCTTTTCATTCCCAATTATATTAAAACAGTCGACTCAAAACATGGGTTAAAAAGGTACCAGGTGTTCTTCAATCTTAGATCCACCATTAAAATTGGATTCATTGCCTCCCTCCAATATATCAACTAATGTTGGCTAGTTGATGAAATCTACTAATTAAAAATCAAAGTCCCATTTTCAGTGGCAATTACGAAAACTCCCACAGCTTAATTCTATGTAAGTTTACTCGGTTTTTTGCTCATTTCAAAAATATTTATGTACGTTGTTTCAGCCCAAGGCCAAGTTCTTTCCCCATATTTATTCTAATATCTATGTTTATAATTAAGAGAATACCATTGTTTCAATGGGACTTACTGCAAAGTAGCTGCAGTAGGAATATTAAGTCTCAGATCTGTAAGAACAGCATGAAGTTGGATGCAACAAGTTAAGGTAATTCAGGAAAAGCAAAATATTTACCTGACATGTTTTGGTCACCTACACTTTAGAACTGGACAAGATAACCTTTTGAAGGCCATGACATATGTTGGAGACCTGGCAGGAGAATGTTTTTATCTTTTTTCCAGGGGACCTTTGATTATAATCAGCCTTCACTGCCAAAGACTGAGTTCACATCTGTTCTACACAGACTGTGTTTTCCAAAAAGCATTCAGCAGTTCTACAAAACAGACTTTTCTACACATAATAAATTGGGTTGGGTTTTTGTATTCTTTTTTGTATCAGCATCAAAGTACAAACCAGCCCCTTCACTAAATGCACAAGAAGCACACTTCATAAAGCTGATAGAGACTAAGCTGCCTTTTAATTGGAATGACATCTCTGAATAATGCAAGAAAGCTATTGAATTTCCTAAGAAGAGGCCATTTCGGGAGCAGATTTGGAGTTGACAAGTGATTTTAAGGGAGAAGGAGTAGTTTATAGTTTCCCCTTCCTACCTCTTTTTTTTGCTCCAAGTAACCACCAAATCTGTCTCTATCACCTGGGGATTTTAGATGTGTGTTTGTTAAGAGTTTATAACCCTGAAGGTGAGGAAAGTAGGTAAAATAAAGTTTATGTACAGCTATATTTTATTAGGTCATTGGGGCTCAGTAATGTAAGATACACCCATAAGAAGACATAAAGAATCATTCTTGTAATTTGCATCTAGGTCCTAACTGCCTATCAAGTCCTAATTCTTATAGCCAAAGTCTATAATAAAAATCTAATAAGGATCTTTCTTTATTCTTAACATAAACTGATTCTGAGATTTTTTATGCCAATCCTTAGAAGGATAGGAGAGATAGAATAGTAAAACTTATTGTTTGCTACTAACCAATTACATTTTTTACATGATGTTTTTCCTCTTCCTCATACTCACAGTAATTCCTAGGCTAAACTAGGAGAGCAAAATTTGACCATAGCCTCCTAGTGATCTTCATGTCTTATCAAGCATTTCATTCAGAACTTCATGGTCTAAGTCCAGGCATTCAACCCCAAACATCATATACATCCTTTAGAGAAAGGCTGAGATAAAATGTCACTACGAAAATATTTTGCTTTCATTTGCCTTCATTTTTGAACAGCCATAATTTGCTTTCACTATCGTACAGTCGGAATGTACATAACAGACTTCCCATTTAAAAGGGAGCCTGCTGCCTGTCAAAGTAACTTTAAGAAAATTCATCTGCTTTGAGTAATTTTCACTATGATTGGGAATATATGGACTTTCTCCACAAAGTGACATTTCTCTACTTCTCCACAGAAAGAAATCATAGGAAAACTGTCTTTCCAGACTCTCCTTGATCTCTTTCTTCTGAATCTTTGGTTAAATCTAGCCCAGGGATGAGAAACTTACCAAAAGAATGGGATCCTTCCTTCCCCAGCTGCTTGCTAGTCGGAGGACATGTTCATTCTGAATCCTCTCACTTTGCAAGCTGCAATCCTAAATGCTCTGATTAAGTAAATTAATGGAATGAGACAGCCCTAATGAACACACAGCCCCCATGAAACATGCATCTGCACTGAATGAGGAAAGGAAGAACGCATTCCAGGCAGCGCTTTGACTTTTTTAGCTTGTCTGTGTTCTGTGTTGCTAAGATGCTCTTTGTTAGCTCAAGGACACATGTGACTCTTCAGGGTCACTCTTCCTCTGTTCAGTGAGCAGTCATCTCAGCCTGCAGGATCTCAGCCTTCATTTGGGATTGGAAGCCTTCCACATGACTGCCAGATCATAAAACAGCCCAGGGGTTCTCCAAGGACAGTCCAACCAGATGGGTTTCCCACACTAGAGCCAGCAGCTAGCTCAAGAAATAAAATACCTTGTCTCAGAAGCAAGGACTAAACCTAATACTTACAGCAGTGTTCTTAAAATGTACCTTTTTTAATACCTTCCTCCAGGGCACAATGATTACATTTGTCCGGCGACAAACCAATGCACAATAGATAAAAACAGGCGCAAAAGTTGCCAGGCCTGCCGACTCCGGAAATGCTATGAAGTAGGGATGATGAAATGTGGTAAGTTCTTTGCTCCCTTGGGCATTTTCTCTTGTAAGATTTCTCATAGAAAATTTTGCTTAAATTCCAAAGCAGATGCAGACTCTCATTCAGAATCACAGTTATGCACACTTAAATTCCATTAACGGCAGTAGTGAGTGGATCTGAGGCTCTGTTTGATTACTGAAGCCCAGCTTCAGCTTGCTTTGGGGGAGAAAAAAAACCTGGTGGAGGACTCATCCCAGCAAATTTTCATCAGTACTTTAAACTATTAACTTCACAGCTGGGCATTCCCTCCACATTCATGGCACTTCTCTTGGACTGATATGTTGGAGCAACTTCCCCAACCTCCTTTCCTCCAGATGTACGAGAATCCAGAATTGCCTGGGAGTTTAGTTATTAACCCTTCAGACAGGAAATTCTAATTGCACCAACACATCTAGGGGAGCACTAAAATGAGATTAGACTATGTTAGAGGCATAGAATGGAAGTCTTCCATAAACTATTTCCTGTGAGACTTTGGAGAGGTGGGTTGAAAATATTATTATTGTGTTTCAAATCTCATGTCTTCTGCTTCTGCTGTTTTTCAACAAATCCATTCAGAAACTGTTATCCAATCATCCAATAAAATATCACCAAATCAACTTGTACAGAATGAAACACCCACTACTTTTACTTTTATTTTTTTAATATACTTTTTCTTCCTTTGCAATAATCTATGGGTTGAGTGTCCTTATTTGAGTTAGGCTGCAAGCACTCAACTCACCTGTATGTACAGTGATGTTGCTCTCTCTTTTCCTACTGTCCACACTAAGACCACTTGTCCCTTGGAGAGAGCTGGCTGTGCAAATTTAAAAAGTCACCTTGATTTGTCAACTATCAGTAGATTATGTGATCTCAGGTAGTGGTTTTGCCCAGATTGTGCCTAGATTGCATTTTTATTACCCTACTGAATTCACATGTAAGAGAAATATTCTAGGGAGTAAACAAATTTACAATCTGTGAATTTTTGGCTGACGCAACAAGTCTGATTTGATACACATCTTCTGTTATGTGCTGACCTTTACAGAGACTTGGTGTAATGAAGGAATTTCTTTCTTACCTTCTTATTGCCTTTTTATGTTGTCATTCTGTGAAGTCTCTTAAACCAGCCCCTAGTTTTAACATGTCCCATGACTACTAAGAAGTAAGTCTCAGAAAATTCAGTGAAAAGGGTTTAGCAATGCATCTAAATACAAACACCAATAAAAGCTGCAAAACAAAAAGAAACAAATAAGCAAAATCCCAAAAAGAACAGATTTAACCCAGGGTCATCTGAAATTATGGCATGTACCACTTAGCTTGGTTTTTTTCATTTCTACTTTCCCATTAGGACAGCAATGGACTAACACACAAGCTTCATCTCCAAACATCCAAAAATCCCTCTGCAGACATTAATGGCATTTTATGTGCTGAGCATTAAGAACTGCTGCAGAGAGTTTTAAAGCATATCAGCGTTCAATGATTAGGCACATTAATAAGGCATTCCTACAGGCCTCCTGGTCAACAGTTTCAGCTAAATGTGTTTACAGCCCTCTCTCTCAAGATCTGCAGAGGTAGCCATGCACCCCAGATGTTGGTAATGGAGTCTGCATATAGTTTTTTGGACTTGACACTTCCACACTTTGTATATGCATGCTAAATGTCTGCAGGGAATACAGCCTCTAAGTAGTAGCTAGAAAGGGTTTTCCCAGCTGTTTCAGTAATGGTATGATGTTCTTGTCCTGCCCTGTATTTTCCTCCAGAAGCTACTTGATACTGTCACAGATGGCCAGGCACAACAATGAAGTTGTCCTTATATAAATATAGTGTACAGAATGTACATACTTAGGTACCATGAATTCATTGGTTGATGGCGAGGAGGAACTGTTTACTATATCCAAATGATTCCTTCATAAAGCAACGAGAGTGGGCATCTTATATCTTTCCAGAATGTGCATGAAATTATAATACAATTAAATGAAAAAACATTTTTGATGTCGATTCCATGCAATTATGAATCATGTTTTTAATCCAACTTTGATTAAATTCTGGTCAGGGCATCAGTACCAGCCAGTGGTCTGCTATTACTTAGCACAAAATGTTTATGTGCAAGCCACTCATTGAAATATACAAAATGTGTTAATAGATATTTGGAACTATAATAAAGTGGTGAAGGATCTTCCCATAGTATGTTTTATGCTTACTCTTTTGTTGGCAGAAAAAAATCAAGCACAAGTAACCAAGCCATGTGTACTATAAATTCTTATAACTGCACAATCTTCATTCTGTTTAATCACTCTGTTAACTACTATACTTATTGGTATACTTATTATACAATGATTGGGTAGAGAATGTGTTGTTGTAAGCTAGCACAACATCTGAATATACCTAATGCTTGTCAAATATTCTGGTTTATTATATTACATAACTGAATTGCTAATGCTTGCAAAAGCCTGGTAGGTTTTGAAGAATAAGTATTAAATTAATACACCTAATCCCAGGTCAAAAAAATTCCTGAGACTTTATTCTCACAAGATTTAAGTATTCAGGATTGAATATGCATTTTTGGTCATACATAAATTTATTTTCATTCTATTCATATATCTATAAAAGAAATTGAGAGAGAAGATTTGTGTTTTTTTCAAAATACAGGAACGCTTTCCTAAACGTCAGAGTAACAGAATGCAGAATAGTTTTTTAAGTAAAATATTATTAACGATTATGCTTTTCTACTGCAGATGAAGTTTTCAGTCTTTTAGTCTATTTGTTTTTCATGAGATTTCTTGTGTCTTGCCAACTAGGAACCTTGGCTATAAGTTCAACCATTATCTCTTTATTCTGGGAGAGGAAAATTGAATATACACACAGATATATACATATACTTGTACATATACATATACACATTGTAATCGAAACTAAATTCTCTCAGCCTAGCCATGCAGTTCATTTGCAAGACAACTGTAGAGTAGCATCTCAACCATGCTTTCAGGTTGCTCAGATCAAAATAAGCATATCTCAACAGCAGAAGGGACCAAATGCTCACCCTGATTACTTAAAAGGAAAACCTTCTATTGTTCAACATGCATCTGTTACAATAGTTTAAAATAAATCAGTGTCATTAACAATACAATGAGGTGGGGTGTGTAAAGTAAGAACTATTTTCTGTCCTCATAATCATGAAGGTAAGAATCTCAGCAATTATCCAACATGGTTTGGGCAGGTTACATTACAATTTAAACTAAAACAACACAGTAATCCCCCAACCCATATGTGACATTTATGACTGGGTATTTAGCCAATGGCTTTTGAACAATGGTGAACAAATATAAAATATGTGTTTTTGCAAGAAGAAAATTCCATTGAATAAGTTTAAAAGTTCATAGTTCATTCTGAGATCTTGCAAACTATAGTGATCTCAAGTTTGCCACAGACAACCAAAGTGAGCTATAAATAACCAATCAAACACCTGTAACACCTTGCAGTTATTTTTGAGTAGACATGGATCATAATCAAGCTGAGAAATAACAGTATCTGAATGAGACAATGGAAGAGGGAAAGGACGGTTGAAAGGGGGATATTAGTCACTTTCCCAGCTGGATACCCTCCTGATGTATAGAATACAGTTTCCATCATCCTCAGCTGGTCTAGTTGGAGAAGGCTGATCTCTGCATCATTTCAATTCTTCCAGCATAGAATGTTGGGATGAGGAAAACTTAGTTAATGTTGCTACCTAGTTATAAAATTTAGTGTGCAATATTTAGCAAGCTTTTTTCTACCATCTTAAAATTATATCTTTGGATTGTTCTAAGTATAAAACAGGAAAAGTGGTGCCTTGAGTTCTTTGGAGAAAAGGCTAGATATGAATACAAGTGTTAGGATTGTTGAGTGATTCTTTGCTACTTGTAGATATAACTTCTTGTTCCTCTCTCAATTGCCTGTCTCCTCTGACTTCAGAAGGTGATGCGATAATATAGAGGAATACAGTGTTGTGTCAGTTTGAATTAAGAGTCAGAGAATCAGATGGCAAGATGGACTAGAAGCACTTTGATGACTTGCAGGGTGCATACTTTAGATGTTTGGTCCAGCATCAGCAGTCTGCAATTGGTGGCTATTTGCTTATATTGTATTCTGCTTGTATATTTATACCTAAAAGAAATACTTCAAAAATAAATCTCTGGTGTTCTTTAATTCACCTGAAAATGTAGCTCTGTAATATGTTCCTAGAACTTCTCACCACTTTTTTTTCTCATCAGTAATAAGAAAAAATATTATAATAGTCTGAGAAGCGATGATCAAATATTTAAACAGAAAATGGCATGAATAATTTCAGATTTGAGAACAGGCAAAACAGGATCAGTGATTGCTTCCATTGAAGCTTTAAATAGATCTAATGCCCAGTATTCTTTTAAGGTTTAATAGTTGTAAATCACCAATATGCCCTGGACTGGCTGAAATTATCCTTTCACTCTTGAAAATGGGAAATTGGCAGTGGAATGATAGTGTGCCAAAGGACTGTGGCAGGAGGACCATGGTTCTATCAATGAAAGTTGCTTGAGATTTATGTGAAAAACGGCAAATGGGACTGGCACAAAAAATATTATCACTTTCAAAAGGGAAATTAGAAGCTTAGTTACTTTCTTTGAGAAATCCTTGCCTGTGTTTCTGGAAAGATCACGGCCCAAACTGTTTGGTTATGGATCTCAGTCTGAATTGCGATGGACATTGAAAACCTTGAGCTTTTTGTGATGGTGATGAGACTGTCTAAGATTTAATATGGAGCAAAGGATTTATTGTTTTTAGGTAGTCAGGTTGTTTCCTCCAGAGATATGCTGGTGGGGGCTTGTTAATTTTTTGCAGCTTGTCTGAGCCTTCTTAGAAAAAAAATGAGTTAATGTTGTGATCATGGATGGTAGTGAGACAATGTGGAGAGGGGCACTGAAGAAGGATCTGTTCACAGGACGTAGTTCCCTTTCTTGAGAAAATGAGAAGCCCACAACAGG